TAGCCAAAAATCTTGCTTCCGATCATCTGTGGTCTTCATGAATAGAGAGGGCTCGTTAACGGTGAACATCATGATAATACTCTTTTTATTTTCAAATATTTGAACCATTATAGAGCTCCTATTCTGTTGTGCAGTCCGCTATGCTCTCTTCAGCTTCTAGTGGATGACTTGCTAGAGAAATGCTTTTATGTTCCTTTTAAAGATGCTGATAAGAAGGGTCCTATTCTGCAGTAAGCTCTCAAGCAAGGGAGGGCCCGTGTCGAAACTGATCCACCTTCAAATCGCAGACGACCTTCATCACTGCACTGTGCGCCACATGGACAGTTACGAAAGAGTCGCTACCAGTATACACCAGAATTCTGTAGGTCTACCCAGCTCTCGAGCACAACTCGAATAACTTCAGCCCGTATTCGTGCGCCTTGTGTGGAAAATACTAGCGGAAAGCGACTCAACGTAATAATTAACAAAAGATGACAAGCTCGTAAATATCAATTTGAAGAAATCCATAGATAAGTCTAAATTCTGCGCGCCCAGAGCAAGATTTGCACTAAATTGACCGTAGTCAATGACAGAAGTTGTGATGCCTTACGTTGTAATAACACTCACTCATTATTGGCCTCAACAACACTGTGATCCTCTTTCCTCGATTCACCTTCGTCAGGCTTTTGAACAGAATGCACAAATGGCTCAACGTTGTGCTCCACATTCGTAATTTCTTCACGGTTATTTTTGATGAAAAATCGATCGAATCCAAAGTTGACTGCTGAAGACATCATCAGCTGACGCGGTTCAAGGCCATGATATTGAATACTATTGGATATAAGCAGTTAGCAAGAAATTTCATTATAAGTAGGAAAGCCAGCTTTATCAGGATAGAGGTAAACCAGAAAGAGAAAGAAGAAGCAAAAAGAAGGAATCGACAGAGAAAGTGAAGAATGACGATAAACTCATAAGAGGCGCGACGTATACTAGCGGCACCTAAATTATCCCTCAAGATTAATATCCTGTTTCCTGAATAAATATCCTGATTTTCCCATTCGAATCGGTGGGAAATTCTACCAATGCATTGATGCTTGGAATATTTGAGCTCATTCTTTGAGCTTCACTTCCAATTCATATGTACCAGAAGAGTTGAACAAGCATTTCTCAGTTCATAACGCACTTTATGAGTTGAAATTTAAACTATCGGAGTCTAGAAAACTTAACCAAACTGGTGCATGTTCTTATCACTTCTTATTACTTGAAACGAAGCTCAAACAGTAAAGGAAAGTTACTAATTTTCTTTACAGCGAAAGAATAACACTCAAGGGGCGCTGGTAAACCAACCACTTCTCCCTGTTGAGTATAAGAGAAGCCAATTCGTTTTGCTGGCTATAGGGACTTGTTGAGCGTCATACCTTTCCTATTATCGTAAAGAACTCTGACCATGGGGTCTCTGGTCTCCTTGATGTGTGTTGGAAATCCGGAGGAATCCAGTCGCAAACGGCTTTTGTCCATCCATTATTGCTCATACGCATTTCATGTGCGGCCCATCTTATCTTCGAACCGTTGACGTAGTTCTAAGCTTCGGATCCCTTAGCTCATTTGCATGATACAGGATACTCCTTGCATTGTCCTTTTGATTTCGCGTTCTGTAACGCTGAATGATCTTTCATCGTGCTCACGTAGCGACCAGGTTTCTGAGGCATGCGTTTGTGCAGGAAGAATCGTGGAGCAGGAAAAGTGGGCACAGAGTTACTTGTTCTTTGTTCTTCTCACGACAGCTTCGATGCTATTCAAAGTAAATTCCAGGACCGACTTTCTTTTAACCTCCGCAGTGATCGACACCGAAATCTTCTTAAGAGCCGACTAATGATCCGAGTAAATCTTTGTAGTGTTTTTAGGATTTTGTTTCTTTTTAACTTGGTGGCTGTCTTTCCTTTTCGGCAGAGATGGAATATTTCATGATCGTGAAAGGGGCCTTGGAAAAACCTCTAGTTTACTGTGATATTGCCTGTTTTGTTGTGTTATTTTTCATTGGAAGAATCACACGTCCAGCATTGAAGGTGGGTTTTGGAATTGCGAGTTACCATGAATGGTTTTCGTTTTCATGATAATCTCAGACAGCTGCTCACTGTACTCGTTCCATTACGACCCGTGGGTCGCAATGTAACGATCTCCGGACGCTCCTCTGGGTCCAGTCCTAGCGTTTAAATCTCTGATGATGACGTTAGGAAATGCATGGTGCATCGCGTTCTCTACAGAGCTTCTGGAAGTCCACATAAAACGCCTCGACTTTCTCTTCGTCATAATTTGATGTTGGTGCGTAGCCGACGAAGATTGTCAAAGCCGGGATTGATCCACATCTCTTCAACCGTAAACGAGCGATTCAAATTGTTAGCTGTTCGAAGGAATCGATGTTCATGAACAAACTCGTGTTAACGAGAATCGCGATGCCGCGGACTCCTATATTATCATGTTCTGAGGAACACTTCTTTTCCGGTGTCATAGACGGCGTTGAATGGGTGGCGTCGCCTCGACTCGGCCAGTACGATAGCGTCTTATCTCGTCCTTTTTGCCTGCATGATCAAGTTCGCAGCTATTTAGGGTTCAGATGCTAGTGAGCATGTACATTTCGAGATGATTTTGTACGTCTTTGAAGATTTCTAGGTTACCTGGAATGGTCCTGAGATTCTAGTAGCCTCTCCGTACTCATCTTACGAAGGCTGCCGCATCGGAGCTTTTTCAAGATCAGCTGATTGAGGCCCGTTTATTTTACTGTGTTTAGCATTTGATAGCCACGTAGACCTTGCTGAGTTCTGCACGTTACTCAGAAGTAGCTTACCAGTCTCTCTCAGCTTTCTAGCTCTAAGTTATTTAGTTATCGAAAATTATAGGGTGTTATTAGAAAACCGGCACCATATCTTATAGAAAAGGATAATGGGCTCGGCGTTGGTCATTCCCTTAACGATGTGCCATGCATTCGACTTCACTAAGTATCGTTTAGAGGTGAATGAATGCACATCTGGCCTTCACAAATGACTCGCAATGGCCTACTGATCTATCGAGCCAGTGCTCTTATCTTCTCAGACAAGTCTGGCACCAATTTACCGATCCCGGAGAGGTGGAAGGCTTGGTGGGCAGGGGACACGGGAATCGATGCCATGTGTATTGCAGAGCGTTTCCGACCTCTGCGTCACACGCGCTCTTTTAAGGGCATAAAATAATCAGTTTTATGGAACTGGTTCACTGCTTTTTCCATTTCTCATTATTGTGATAGGACCCGGCTGTGAAAGGCAAATATAGGGATTACTGAAATGTATTCGACACGGGTAGAAAAATCGAATCCTTCCAATTGCTGACAGCAATGTATCTGTATGGTGTGCTATAGTAAAATGTAGCATACGTACTTCTAGATGGATAAAAGAAAGCTCTTCTATGATTTTGTGATGTCTTCAATACCAAAACCCTCTAGTTTCGTAGATTCATCGTTCATTGTTGAAAAGAAGCCTGCCTTGCCGTGTTTACAAATTGCTGACGAGTTCTACAGTTTTTGTGGGTTTCGTGAAATTGAGTGTAGTCGCGTATGTGAAACGAACATTTTGAAAGACTAGCAGATCTTAGCAGAGTCTCGAAGTAATTAAAGTTCTATGCTTTACAATATATACCTCATAGAAGTCTTGTCCACTTAGTATTTTTGCGAATTCTTTACTTAGGCAGTGTTTGTATTACAACCAAAATGATGCAGAGATATGTGCAAAACTCCGGACCGCAGATGTCTGTGGTGGGAACGAAGTCTTTCAGCTAGTTCTATCGATCGGTGCCATCATCAATTGAAACGAAGGACTCCTATAGTGTAGCGGTGAACGCGTTAGCCCTCAGGAAAGGTAATAGCGAGTTCGTTCACCACCGCAGACACTTGCAGTCTGGAGTTTTGGAAATATCTTTGCATCATTGTGGTTGTATCACACATAATATTTTCCCTGCCGTGGAAAATTTTAGTGAGCAGTGAATAAAAAAAGTTGACATCGTACTTGTGTTATTTATAACTTTCTGTTATATGCTTATGGTACGATTAGCAGTGGATTGCTGTTACTGCAACTTACGTGACTCCACATTTCGTGAAAACAACGGAGATTTTGGGATGGACTGGCTGAATCTAAGAACGGAGAGTTCCTTCAGGACGACTGCGTTGTAATATTAGCCGTTTTGCAAGCATAGATGAGAAATAAGAATTTCCATTTAATACTCGCGTCAGCAAGTATTGGAGGCGCCGAATTTCCTCTTAGCTGGGTTTTAGGACTGAGATATCAAACTTTTTCTCAACTTAAATACTTTGTGGATAATGAGCCCATTCGCTATACATCGCAGTTCCACACTCAGGAATTCTTGACACCGATGAAGAGGCTGTGAACCGTTAATATATATATATATATTCATACATATATATGGGTATATATATATATTTATATTATATACGTGTATGTAACAAGAGAGCGCAAAGAAGGAAAAGAAAGAGAGGGAGCATATGACACGGTTCTAAAACGAAAGAGATAAATAGTTCAGCAAAGGGTTTTTTATTCAATAGAAACAATCTTAAAAAGTGTCTGTCGCCAAGATTGCTTTCATTAGTTTTCTTAATACAATAAGAACGCAAATAAATTCTACGAATTCTGGTTCTAGCGCTGCCATATTCTGGCCGTTTAAAACTTGTCCCGAGAACTGTTCATTATCAAACGATCATCACAACACCTTGACCTATATCGTGGATCTTCTCGCGTTAGTATTTTCCATTGTCAGTGCAGTGTAATTTAATCTGTGTTTGCTTGCGTTTTAGATATCTCTAAGAACGTACCTACCTATACCTACCTATACACTGGTGTACTTGACCCTAAATGGCACTGAGATGATATGCTGTTGGAAACAGAGAGTCGATTTCAAGTTGTACTAAATATTAATGAAGTAACGTGAAGTTTTGCATTTATATCAAGGCTATTATTTTCAGGGTCTTCTTTTTCAGAATGACTCGCTGTTTCCGATGTCTTTCACGAGAGCTGTGTCATGACCATGGCTCATATAGATTGGTCACCCGTAACAGGTTACAACCAACGATGTGGGTCAATAAATACGTAATTGGACACTACCGACCGCCTAATATGACGAATATGATGTGCGCAAAAAGGTAAATTACATAAAGGATAAGATGTTTGGCGGAAATCTGTCCCTTAGCGATGATGGAGTGCGCATATCATAGTGGTTAAAAGTGTTCTGTGCTATACTCGTGGTTTTTGGTTCGTTCTCGCTCCTTGGCCTCACCAAGCTTTCAGTCTCTTCGGGGTGCGTAAGTCACTCTTAAACCTATCTGCTAGGATAGCAAGACTGATTTGATACATCTATAGGTCGACGCAAGTACATGCATCCATTCATCATCATCTATCTAGGGCAGTTATGCATTTATTCACCTCTAAAATGGTTGAAGTCAAATGCATGCAGCATCCTTCAACGGTTGAAAGAGGCCGAGAGCTCTATCTTTTTATTACTTATATATATATATAAATATACATATGTATATGTATATACGTATATAGAGGGTAATTAAAGGATAAAGCTCTCAGCGCTGATCAATCCTGAGGGATGCGCCACGCATTCAACTCTATTAAGCATCGTTGGAGGTGATTGAATGCATATCTGCATATAACGCTTTACAATGACTCGCGGTGACCTACCAATGTATCAAGCCAGTGCTGCTATCCTCCCAGACAAGTCTGGTACCAATTTGCCGACCCCTGAAGGATTGAAGCTTGGTGAGGATCGATTCCACGTGTGTGTCGCAGTGGCGCCTCCACCACACGCGCCCCATACGTACATAAATATAGTATATACTTTTACGCGACCCGTCTTCACAACACATGAGCCACTTGAGTGCAAGACTCTGCAGTTCCTAGCACTTCTGGCATTCGGTTCGTTTCCTCGCACTGATCGTCCACAAAGGTTTCTGAACTGTGGGTTCAGCTTGAGCAGATTGTCCCTGAAATCTTGGAATTGCCGGGCCATAGCGTTGTCATTTGGATTTCAGGAGATGTACCAGAGTAAAAATGGACCTTTACTGCCACAATTCCGTGTAGGCTGCACATAGCTTCCAGGCTTACAAAAAAGTAAGTATGAAGGGCTTCGTGTTAAAAGCATGATGGTCGTCGCAAGAGTGGGGCCCACTGGAAAGTGCAGCGCACTATAGGCGGGAATTAAGATTGCAAGAATTGGGGCATTGTAGTGCGAGTTTCTTAAAACTGCAAAGAAAGATCGTACTAGAGATTAAATATTGTCTCTATTCTTATCAAGCATCAAGTGGCTCTGACATGTACCTTTAATCGTCCGGAGGATTATGTTGAAATCTGGGTACCTTGTTGGGGACATCCCTTGATCAGCACCAGTGCACTTCCCAGCCACTTGAGTGCAAGCCTTTAAGGTGATCGCGGTGAAATTTTCATTTTAAGTGCATATAAGCAAATCTTCCTTTTTTCGTTGGTTTTCCTTAATTTGACATTCCAGTAACAATTTTCCTAAGAAGGGCCAAGGGAGAAATCTGGCATGGCATCAGTTTCCTTCATGCTGATTTTCTAGACTTCGAAATCCTGCGCTACTCGCTCCCGATCCAACATTACTTTCTCTCAATCTTAGTATTCGTCAACCATACCTATTCGCTTAGTTGTATATCGAAGACGTGGAGCAACATATTTTCAGCATTTTCCACTGGACGAATGAGACAATCAACATTTGGAGCCATTTACTAGGATTTGTTTATTTCACTTACTGTCAGTACGAGATGAATGTGCACCGCATACCGCTACTGGGTGGTCATCTTCATGACCATCTAATCACATCACTCGCACTGTTTGGAGCACAGGTGGTGTTTTGCATTTTCTGTGTTCTAAGGGTGAAGATCAATTATAGATGAGCAGTTCCAACTAACACACTCAGTTTTAGAACTTCAAGCTGCTGACGCAAGTTATTCCTTACTTGGGTACTTGGACGGCCCATCTTCACTGGTTATCCGGGCCCCAGCATAATTTCCACCTTTTCTGAGTTTTTCTAGGCTAACCATTGCAGTTCTCTCAAGTGCTGGGGTCAGTCTGGCCAAAGTCTGCCCACCTCTCCACCACCACGAGTAGTCGCCGCTCTAGTGGATCAGAGGGAGATTTGCCACCATGCGACAAGTTTCATACCAGGACTATGGTGGATCCTGGTGCTAATTTTTTCTAAGCTGAGCTTCCTAATAGAAAGGCCAGACTACTTATCAGCCCTGGGAGATAAATCGCCCTCTGTATATCGCAACCCGACACCCAGGAACACCTTCCAGCCATGACGACGCGGTAAACCGTAGGGAGGAGCATAAGTTATTAAATTTCTTGTTGTATTAACCTCCTTAACATCGCAAAAGATGAGAATTTATGTAGTCAACGCATGAAGATTAATGTTTAGTGCAAAAAATGGGCATTTTTATAAGGAATTATCAGAAATGTGTCCTTCCCTGCTTCAGATTTGCATGTTATTCTCGGCTGCGTATCACACCTTCTGCTGCGCAAGTGAGATTAAACGACAGAAATTTCTAAAACTAGACACTTTCGGGATTTCGGCAGGTCTTTTAGGAATGTACTTGTCGGGAATCTACACCGCATTTTTTTGTTTCAAGGTAATTTGCAGTTTAGAATTGTGTTCTTGGTTCTAAATTCATAGTTTGGCACTATTCCCATGTTGCTCTTAAATTAGTTTCTTAAATGAGGAAAATGCCTGAAAATCAACCCCAAAACCAACAACGCCTGGTGATGAGCGCCGTAATAGAGTGCTAATCATGGGGCTAAGGGATTCTATTTGTCGTTGGTGCACGAGAAGCATCTCATTTTAGGGTGTTCACCAACGTGGTAAACAAATCTTTTCAACGATTTGATTTCGTTCCTCATTTGCTAACGACAGATGGTGAAATACACCTGCTAACGCCTGTACAGTGACTACTGTCCTTCTGGGAAATGTCACCTCCGGAAATTCTCACTAGCTTGGTGTCTGCTGCGGCAGTGTTTTCGAGTAGGAAAGTAATTCGAAAACCGGACAAATTCCTTTTCTTGTCTGCATGGAATGGGATACTCTTCGCACTATCCGTTGAACAGTTTTTAAAACGTAAGCGCACCTGTATTCCAGCTAGGTGGAGTCCAGAAAGCATGAGCAGTCATAAAAGGTTGGATCGACAAATTTCTCTTTTCTTGCTCTCCTCATTGCCTGATCCCTCTGTAGCTCTTTGCTGGCAGTGTGAGAAATTTCAATGACACACGTCTCCTGTTTAAATTCAAACTCTTACTATGTTTTTATGAGTATTATTCTTTCTATTTTATTGTTATGTTTGACGTAGGGCTGGATGAGTCGATGGTTGAGGCAATTTTTCTTATCACCATGAAGAACCGAAAATAGTATCTTCTAAAGCCCAGTCCAAGCCGTAGTCTAGTTTTGAGATCATGCTTCTTGAACTACTCAGTTTTTCCTTTTTTTGGAGACGACGGTTCATACACTAGGAAGGCGATAGGCCGCTGCCGAGTTAATCGTTGGGACAATATTGTTATGGAGGACAAACAAAAGATAAATTGCAAAAGACTTTCTTCTGACGATAGTCTACTCACTTTAATTTTGGTCCTCCATAGCAAAAGATTCGCACAGTCACGATTTAAAAAATCGTGTAATTGTGAGTAGCTGTAAAAGATCTCTATTGGTATGGAAAACACAATGTTCGCTATTTTTATTTGCTGCCTACTACAGTCTTCACGACAGGGTATTATGCGAGATCAACAACAGCGATGCTAAGATATACGCAAAACTTGGACCCTGGGCCAGATCGAACCACGATTTTCCTTTCCGGCGGCTCGTGCATTACATACTACGTCACGGAGGCCCTTGCTCTGAGTTTCTCTCAGCTAGTTTTCTAGCACATCGTCCAAATTTTGTGAGTATCTCAGCATCTTTGCGGTATGGAAAAGTTGGACGACCATTAGCTCACATTGGTTTATTGGCTTGCATTGTGGCTTTCTTCTTTTCCGGAGCAAATCAGAGCGTGACAATTGTCGATGACAACTTTATGGTAGACATGTTTTTCTGTAAGACTTCTTCGGCGTGACATTATTCCATCGTTGTTGTAGTTTTTATTTCGCGGCATGCACCTCAAAGGCTGCCAAAATCGATATTGGTCATGTTCGTTCTTGCATAGAACGTTTTTTAAACTAATGTCCAAGTTCAAAAGTACATCAGCGCGGACAACTCATGTCTTATCAGAGCATCACTCTTCTAGTGTCTTGAACAGTCTGTAATGGGTTTTATGTTCTCGTTTCGCTTAGTGTGATGATATTGTGCCTCACCTTCGTTGCTTACATTGTTAGGGTTTCAGTGGACACGGATCTTTCCTGCAGATCTTCATTGTGGATCTTTTTTTCCAAATTCCGGCCTCCTGGTATGGTACTAAGACATAGCAGGTCCTACGCATTGGTCATCTCCAGCGCCCACGTATAGTTTGTGGTCAGCGGAATGATGCCCATATGAAGGAAGCTACTAGCACATGATTTGCGGAGTTACCTTGTACTTAGTCATTCAATTTCATGAATTTAGCGCAGTTAGAATTTTGTTTTCAGGAGCATCTTAACACATATTTGTTTATGCTTCTAACAATATTTATCGTGGCTGTGTATGTTCCAACGCGAAGGGATTTTTTTGATCAGAAGGTTGTGGGATCTCGGATCGGTTATTTACACATAATCTACACTTCGATAGCTATCTTTGGGTTTTGCCCAACGATCCATTGGGTATACTTACACGGTGGTCTGTCCAGTGCCCACGTCGCAGTAAGTGATTGCTGATGTTTCTAAATTTGCAACTCACTAAGTTAAATATAAAGTACGGATTATGTTAGTATTTGCTAGTGAAAGATGAATCCACAACAAAATTGTCTGAAATTGTCTTAAAAGTAGTAAGCATCTTCGGAAGTTGAACAGCACCGACTACTAACAAAAAGTGGAATTCTCGGCTTTGAAACAAACAATGTTTTTTTCACATTCTTCGTGTTCTATAACAGAATATTCCTTTTTTGTGTAAATAAGGAAAACCGTATATTGTTATAGTAAAAGGATAAAGCTCTGGGCGTTGATCAATCACTCAGAGATGCGTCATGCATCCGACTTCATTAAGCATCGTTGGAAGTAATTGAATGCATATTTGGCCTTTACAATGACTCACGTTGTCCTCAGTGAGCCAGTCATTGTAAAGGCCAGATATGCATTCAATTAAGGTCGAGCCAGTGCTGTTGTCTTCCCAGACAAGTTTGGTACCAATTTGCCGACCCCGAAGGGATGGAAGGCTTGGTGAGCCACGGGCGTGTGGATCGATTCCATGTGTGTGTTTCAGGGGGCCACCGATCACTGCGCCATACGCGCTTTTTTATTGTTTATTGTAATAGTATAGATCTTTTTTTTGTGGTGTACGAGGATTTTGTGCAGAAATCTTTACTTATGAAGGAGGTTTCTTGATACTCTTTTTGATAATACACCGATCACAGTCACTGTAGTATGCATAGCCAGTTAATCGCGGTGTTATATAGTGCACCAACACGTGACGCTGGTGGTTCAAACGTAGACCAGAAGTGATATCCATTATGAGGCATGCAGGTGCATCCAATAGGTTTGATTTTTCTGTTTTGCCAAATTGATATACAAATATAACTTCTGTTTGCAAGTTGCTACAGTCATGCTTAGCGAAGTGTATGTACTTGCGCACATACACATTGTATCCTACACATCCATCCAGATCCAGACAGCAGCGCGTAGTGAGATGAATGGGCATAAGTGATCGTTAGCAGTGGCCTAGTACAAATAAGTTTTTCGTCTGCTCTGTGAGGAAATAATGTATCCTCACGGGACGGCCAAACTCGCACGCTAGCCAGGAGGCCTTCACGTGCAAGTCGAGTCAGGGAGGTTTTGAAGTCCGCATATGCGATGCCATACTTATCCCAGTGGAGATCCATAAGTCTTGATTTAGTGCTCAGAGCTGGGAGGTTTCAACGAGTTTTTTTAAATGATATCTCGGAGCTGTTTGTGGACGAGATGAACAGCCATGCAATAGAGAGGATGTGCCGTGGAACGTTACGAATGTTGACTGGATAAAAAGATTTATCGATTTGCTTCGTAAAACAAACGGTCAATATTGAACTACGACAACTGTTGTATTATCGTAATTCTACTCCTCCTCTAGCACGGCGTCCTACTGCAGTCCATGTTACAAAAATAGGCAGATTGGAAGGTAAACTAACAAACTTCCATCTAATTCTCCCTTAACGCAATGCGTTACCGAAGGAGCAGATTATGTTTTACCTCTGATCGAGTTTATCAGTAGGAACCGTAGCAGGGTATACAAGCTTGAAAACTATGTGTATGGAAATCTGTTGTTCTCTTTCGAAGAGCAATCGTTTTCTGCTTGTATATCACACGTAGTAGGCCCTATTGCAGAATATCTATGGTTATCGCGCGCGGAATACCTCGCTCAATAACTTCAAGGTGGATATATGCCTCTGTTACGTTCGAAGCGGAAGTGTTGGACTCTGTGCTAAGCGCGACCAGGAAGCTCTGTATAGAAGGATAAATCACTGAAAACAGAATAAATTGGATGCAATGCACTTCGTTAAACCTTTTTATTTTCTGCCTACTATAATTTCGCGGCAGGGTACTAAGCGAAATACAACCACAACGTTGCTGAGATATTTGCAAAACTCTGGACAGCAGGTGTCTATGGTGTCTATGGATGGGAAGGACAATAGCGCGTTCGTCCCCCACCATAGACACCTGCGGTCCAGAGTTTTGCAATGCACTTCATCCAATTTGTCTCACTCCACCCATGCATGGCACACAATGCACTTCAGACGTTTTGTAACACTAAACATCCAATTAGTTGACCACATGTTCACCATAACTCAATAACAGCCTTATGAGGATTTACCCATATTACCAGTCGATTACCAGTTATGAAAAAAAGAACTAGAGGAAAAGGTACATGGCATAATATTTCTCTCTATCATCCGTATTAGCGTGAATTATTGAGTAACTCGGGGGGTATAGATAGATTTCCACTTGTGCTTGTCAAATGGGATAAAATTTAGTTACTTTATATCTTATGAGTATGAGTGTTATTGTAAACACACTATTTCAGACATGGTTGATGGATATTTTCGTACTGTATGGTCTGATTGGAGCTGCATTTTTCTTTTATGTGACCCTAATTCCTGAACGGCTGTACCCGGGTAAAGTTTACTTTTATAATTGTAAATGCGAAAATCAATAGCTGAGCAAGTCTCTCTAATAAGGAGGAATAAGATTTAGGGATACAGACTGAGTTAGCCAGAAGGAAATGTTCGATGTACTTCATTTCTATGAAGATCAATTTTCGTGTTAAGGGAACACTGGGAACAACTAAAACTTTTTAAGCGTCGTCTAGAACGTTGAATTTCTAGGGGCGTTTGATCTTATTGGATGTTCACATCAGTGGTGGCATGTACTTGTCCTATGTGGCATGATGTATTGGCAGCGCTCGGGAGCAGAACTGCTGTCGTTCTACCGAATGAGCAAGTCCTCATGTCAGGACTCCATGACGGGTGTTTTACACAATACCAGCTTCGTCCATTAACAGCGGGAAAATGCTGGTGTTTCAGATGTTTTAGAATATTGACTACTGTATATTGTACTACATCTAAAAGATTTTAAACTATTGTTATGTTTGGGACATTCATTTTGTGCAATGTTATCATTGATTTAGAATAATCAGGTTGCGACGACAGTTCTCGATAAACCAATGAGTTTTCTTAGTAAATAAGTTTATTTTAATGTGTTTGAACGTTTGAATGTTCCGTTTTAATGTGGTTGAATGCTCTATCAAAGCGCCTAGAGCAACGAAGTGAAGTCATGTATACAATCAAATGCGGTTATACTAGCAGGTTTTGCCACTGCTTCAAAGCTTAACCATGACGTCACTGATTGGTCTTAACAATAACACATATGGCTTACGTTATAGCAGTTAATTCTTGTAGGGCCTATGCTTCCTTTCCTTCGTCCTATAGCGCGCAATTTTTGTAGGTGCTAGAGGTCAAACCTCAAACCTCGGGAGTTAAATTTCTATGTAAATAGCATTAACAGACGAAATCGAGAAATGCACATACAACGAGATATACAACTTGATCAAACAGCAGAAGTAATGTAAGTATGGAGTTGCGCTAATAAAAGCGCAGAGGTGTCTGCAAGGTGTCTGCAATAGGTCGTAGTATGAGGAATGGAAGGCGTAAATCAGAAAAGTGGTAGAAAGCTCTACGCTTAAACCCTACTTTATGAAATGAGGCAGCAGAAAGAAGACGGAGAACGCCACATATATTTGGACCAGGTGAAAGCGCCCACTAGGTCGATATGGCATGTTAGCCTGCCATGTTAGGCAAAGAAAGCGAAGTATAGATGTAGGACGAGAGTTGTGAGCGATTACGTAATACATTAGCTAAAAATTTGTATGCATTGAACACTGTGCACTTAAGATGAGAAATATGTAATAATATAGGAGAATAGTGAGTACTTTAAAGACATAGAGAACAGTTCACATATGGCTGGGTAAGTCATTCAAGCGCTATATGAGTGGTTCGCAGAATGCCTAACGTGGACGGAATGTTAGTCCACTTGCATGCTGCGCAATAGAGTGTTGAGAGGCTTATTGAGGCATTAAGATGAGCATGGAGCTTTGACCTTTTAGATTACCGATGTGTTCTGGGAGAGTACCGAACGCAACATATCCATTATATTCCCTCATTCATTACGTTTCCAATATTATTGGGACACTCTGCGTACATGGGATATAGTCTCCGTGATCAGATTATTATCCAGTTCGATTTCTTCTCCTTTTACACCATGTTTTCTCATTAACTGGGTTCTATTCCGATTTTGGCGTAATCCTATATTATTCCCTCCACCATAGCTTTCACACCATCGTTTCTCCTCCATTGCCATTTCCTGGAAAATGACGACTTTATCAGCAAAACGGAGATTTGATAGGAATTTCTGTCAATGCCTAAGCCAATTATGTCGGCAATCGAGCAAGTTAATTTCTCCTTGCAATGCTTTCAGACGAGATGGTGCTGCCATGTTGATCCATCGAACCCGATTCCTACAGAACTGATAAGTGGTCAGTGAAAGAATTTTTTGCTGCAGTTGTGACAACAGTTAAATAGAGCTCTCAAGTACAATTTCGGTTAACAAATACTGATGGAATTGTATTTATTTCGACTTTTTCGGAACGGCTTTTCCTAGTCGGTGGTGGCTAGGACAAGGAAACATGGTATTTCCATGACCTTGGATACAGTCTTGATATTCTCCCGTTATCCTTCTTAGCTAGGATAGCAGTTCGGTATGTCTGACACTCGCCAGGAATCCTTCATCTATCCCATTTAAACGTGAATTTATACATGCAAGCTGCGAAAACTGCATGTAATTCGTGAATCCTAGGTCAGAGTAAGTCATCTGCGAGGTGGTTTACTCCAGGAGCTCACAGATAGTTTTTCAGTAGCGAGGATTTTGTGATCCAGAAGAGTTTCATGGAGCCAAAATACTGCTGTAGAACTTTTGCTTCACCAATTTCATTTGACGGCGATGATAGTGATAGTAAGCCTTTCTACATTCATCAGCGCTGATAGCCGATTATAGCGCGTAAATCATCTTAACATTTCTTAAAAGTGGCTCAGTGTGCGACCAAGTAATAAGAAGTTGCTTTCACCTAGGGCTATGTTGTAACTAATAAATTAGAGTGGTTAGAGTTCCCTTTACTCTACCAGGCTGGCCAATTTAATAATGTCCTAATGAAAAAGTAAGGAATGTTCCAGGTGATCCTTAAGTTCAGTTTCTGACAAGCAACTGATTATCGTTTATTTCGAAATACTTCGAAGAACCGTTGTTTTCTATGCAAAAGGTAAACGATAATACTCTTGTTCTTTGATTTTGTTCTTTTCACACACAAGTTGATAAAAAGAATATAGAGGAATGAGACTCCGGACCGCAGGTGTCTGCGGTGGGGAACGAAAGCGCTATTGTCTTTTCCGGGGAGTAACGCGTTCACCACCACACCACGCTGGTCCTTCGTTTCGCTTGTCTCTCAGCTAGTCCTATCGATCTTTTGCCAACAGCAATCACCAAGATTTCAATTACACTGAACAGAATAGCTTCTTCGCACAATTACCGTTAAACTCGACCTTTCCAGGCTTTGAGGAAAGCAAAATCCACCGATGCGTCGGCTTCTTCGTGAATAAAGAACGAAATAACACCTCATGCTTGCTCAACAAAAGCATACAGTATTATGTGAGTGCTGCTATCTGCTACCCAGACAAGTCTACCAATTTACCGACCACGAAGGAATGGATGGCTTGGTGAACACGGCGCGTAGGATCGAACCATCGACCGCACGTGCATCGTAGGTCAGCTCTAACTATTACTCTACATGTTCCCAATCTTGTCAGACGTCAAATTCTACAATCAGCCTAACGATGAACCTAATGCAATCTTACTTTATCTATATCATTATAAAAGACTGGATAGGAGCCGAATTCGAGCTCTCCTTGTTCCGCTTGTGAAATTCTTCATAAATATTTCCTGTCATTAAATACATTAATTTGTTACTGTATCTTCCTTGAGAAATCTTTGCAGTTACCTACTAGTTGATATCTAAGTGAAACGCTCCAATTGAGAAAGCCTAGCGCGAGGCAGACGTCACGTCTCTTCTAGTCTCTTACCAGTCTGTCCAACTGAAAATCAATACATGGGCTCGGCTCCGCAGAAGTTATGATGTAGCAGAGTACCACACAGCCGCTCCAGGAATGGGACAGCAGCATTCTGGATTCGTGGTCGAAATCGCTAGTCCACGCCTTGGTCGATTCCAGGTAAGCTGGTTGTCTTGCCGGTAACCTGTGACTGTAGTCACGCGTTTTTAGCAATTTGCAATCGTGGCTCTTTATTTTTGAGTTTGAATATTCGCCTGGTCGTTAAAATATTGCAGCGTATTGGTATTTCCGTTCTATGGATTTCCTTGTAAGGAAAATTCTCCTTCTTATTTTTCTTCTTTTCCTCTTCCTTTCCTTCTTCTCTTTCTTCTCCTTTCCTCAAGAACTTTCCTTGGAATAGGAAACGAATTCTGCTCTTGAGGCGCTTGCTCCGTTTTATCCAGAAACATACTCATTTAAATTTTGCCATGCTCTTGCATACTAATTTGAGAGAAATTACTAAAAAATATCCGGAAGAAACTCCAGTGGATTGTCTTCTGAAGGAATGCGAAAGGCATTTAAACCATTGGCAATGTGTAAGAACACATTGAACGATCGTAAACTTTCAAAGGGTGCCCTTTTGTATCATTTCGAATCCAACCTCAATTTCATTGATTCTGTGGTTCCGGGGTGCACCCTAGAAGAAGCTAGAGAAAGACTCAACATGACTTACATTATTGCGTATATTTGATATTTTATTTTTATTCTAAATCACGCATATAGCTCAGTGGTTACATGTGCCCTGCAATAAGCTTAGAATCTCTAGAAAATTCTATTTATTACCCATTATTTTTCCATGCCAAGGTGTTATGTGAAATGGCAAGCAGAAAAGCAAAAAGCAAAGAGCAAAGCATAGAGCAAAAATAAAATAATTGGCTGTAAATAAAGGGTTACACATTGTGATTTCAACTGCAGCCCCAGCTTCTCTGAGTCTAATGCGGATTTGTGCTCTCCAGATCATACCTGTTGACGGATAATTATTGATAGTGCCAGTAGGGTAAAAAACTCGCTTAGAGAAAGGCAAAGGACCGGCATCAGTGGTGTAGTGGGTAAGACATGAGCCCGGAAAGGGTACTCATGAGTTCGAATCTGGCCTGAGTGGTGGGTTTTGCAAGTACCACAGAACCAGCTTTTGGTTCTTCCATGGGTGTTCATTGTGTCCCAAATCGCTGTATAGGCCAAATATTCATTCAACCACCTCTGCAGTGCTATTAATAGAGTATAATGCATGGTTCGTCTATAAGAGGTTCTCTCAGAGGATCAAAATCGTACCCTCCATCACTTATTCTGTATTCTATGTCATAAAGGTATTCATACAAGCAAACTAGCAGCAGTAGACCGTAATCCTGCGGAGTTCCTACTCCTTTGAAGTAAATCAACTCCTCAACTTTCTTTAGTCTGCTTTTTTCATGCATTTGGCTCTGAATTACACAAAGCTAGTTGAAAATCCCCGAATCCTATGTGAATGTTCATTTTTGGCGTCCTTGAAGAACTTCATTGAAAAATGCAAAACCTGGAGAATTTCGATGTTTGGGTGTTAGACTAGGCGGCTACATACTGAAATGCTACCTACAGTAAGCCAAAATTGTGTCATTTGGCTTAAATGCGTAGCAAAATCACGCAAATTTGTTGAGATTCTTGATGGGCTGGGAAGTAGGAGAGGAAGCACGAAAAGGTTAAGCAAGAAACTTGGAAAGACTTTCTTCGAATCGCGAAGAAAAGTGATAATTTTTGCTCTTTCGCCTAACTAAATGTGAGAGAGTACAGGCTTAACTTATCACACCATTTTGTTACGTCACACGTTTGTTTAAATTCCCCTATTTTATTTTTTGAGCTTCTCGACATTTCTTATTGAAAGCCTTCTCCATTTCCACATTATTCCATAGACCTAAGAAAGTGTGGCTAAATGAGTGCTGTTGATCAATACATAAAGGTATTACTGTATATGGAAACAGATATATATATATATATATATGTATATGACTACAAAGATTATAGAACTTTTGGGAACCACATGGGCTTGGATTTTAATGATCGATATAATAGATCGATAATCGGAGGCCCATCGACGATCGATGCAATCAGACCTCATAAAATCGATAATTTTATAATTCGTGCTTTCTTTTATATGGCCCATCTTTGCATCTACTTTGAGGATCCTAACGCTGTTTGCTTTCGATTCCTTTCGACACATTCATCATCCACGAAGGTGTTTGAACATTCAACGCGTTGGTTGAGCTGCCAGTTGAGGATTTTGTTTCTTTCTTGAACATCGCTAAATTCACGGCTAGTCAATTCTCCCTAGAGCAATGGTTTAGCCATGCGAGAGCGTCCCCACGTGGATTAATGGAAGTCAGCTAATCCCAGACAAATCTAGGAGCATTTTCACGACTCCGTAGAGATGGGAAGCTTCATGACGTCGGTGTTTGGCCCAACTGCACCGTGCTCGTGATGAACAGCATCACTTCCACTGCGCTTCCTTCCGCAACTGATGTATTCGGGTACTGTTTATTCGTCGTTAAAGGATAGAATAATAAGCCATTTGGCGCTGATCATCCCCTTAAGGATGTACAATGCATTCAACTCCATTCATAGCATCGTGGTTACTTTATGATGCATCCTTTGTCGGAGTTGTGCTGGCTCATCGATGTATCAAACCAGTATTTTTATTCTCTTAGATGAGGCTGGCACTACATCAGAATTTGGAAGGATCTTTTTACAGATGATGTCCAGTCCACCTCAGTGTTTCTTATGCCGGTGCATTCCATACAATAACTATGATTTATCATTTCGATTCATATGAGGCAATAGTTAATTGTTAGTCAAATTGCCGGTCAATGTTGTTCCGAAACCTGCTGAACTGAAAATGGACATTATAGTGTACCAATGTCGCGAATGGGTCGAAACGGTGCTCCTGATCGACCACGGGACCTGTGTGTATTGGGGGCGCCCTTAACCACTACGCTAGATGTGACCCGGCAAGAATTTTAGTAGTTAAAATTATAGTTCGAAAAATTATAGTTCTCATTCGAGGAGATGGCTCACCGAGGAAGACCTGACTCGACACGAAGGCGAAGCTGCCACGTCGAGACGAGTAACAAGCGAGGGCCATCGACTCGGATCATCGGCTCTGAGGAAGACGAAGACGTCGAAACGTTAGACGAAAATAAATATCATTATCAACCTCGTGTAAGCTCACCAAAGAAAGAATACATATAAAATTATAGTGTTGAATTACCTATAGAAAGAACAAGTTAAAGTCGATATTTTCTTCGTAAAAGTAGCAGCTGTATAATAATTTTGGAGTTTTCTTTTATGTCGTCTAATTTTTCGTTATAGTGAAGTGTACTGCACAATCTGCCTGCTTAATTGATTTTTCTTGTTCATATGCTCGCGGGCAATATAACGTCGATAAAACAACAATAAAGAGGTCCACGAAAATTTAACGGGGCACTTTTTCCTTTATTTTCGTTTTTATCTCTTCTTCTCTCCCTTTCTCTCTCTCCCTCTCTCCCTCTCTGTATGTGTATCACAGTCCGTTCTTTTATAGGCCATACCACAAAAGGACCCTGATGAGGAGAACGAGCCTTCGTGGCGAATCACCGTCAATCCATCTGCCGAACTTTTCGGTTCGCCTCGCCTCCGAAGGGATATCGATCGGCTCTACCATCAGCAAAAGCTCCTCAGTCCTACCGATGCAAAGCGGGTCAATATGACATTGTTTGTTTTTACGTATTAATTCATTTGTATAGGGGGTGGGTAGCGCAGTTGTTTAGATGCCGTTCGGCGCGTGCAAAGGACCGGTTCTACCCACACCAGCTGTCCCGTCCCTTTGGCGTCCAGAAATCGGTATCAGACTCGTCTGGGATTATCTCACTCTCTCCAGTTCTCGTGGGGAGCGGTGTAGCACGGTTATGATAGGATCCCAGCGACAATAGATTAGATGAACACTAAATGACATCCATAAAGAACAGGATAATTCTCAAACAACCGCCGAACCACGCTCAAAAAGTTCGAAAGCCTTCGTGAAGGGTGGATGCGAGGAAATGAAACGAAAGCTTACTGTGATCCTTAAAATGAGCAATATAGGATCAAATCGTAGAGATGAGAAGGAGGAAACCATAAGTGCTCGGGCTTACAAAAGTAGCTTCAGAATTCATTTCTAAATGCCCATGTCTTTTTATTGCGGGAAGGTAGTAGAAATAAAAATTCATCAGACGAAACGGATATTACTATTCCACATTTGCGCTCTGTTTCACTTATCTAATCAGGTCGTCGTGACTATGTCCCTGAGCTTACTCTTCCACCTTTTAAATATATTTTCTAGGCATAAAATCAATCAGTTTTTGTACAGCAAGACAGTAATGACAGTAATCTGAAATGTTACCCATTTTTTCTTTTAAGGAATTAACTTCTAAGCAGTTGTAGAAATTCTCCTGAATTTTTAACCAATTGTCTTTGGAAAAGGAGACAAGAGTTTGCTGTTATAAAAGATTTATAGGTGCTTTCCGCTCTTCAAGCCATCGATCCCTCCTCTGATTTGCTGTTACCGCTCCTCACAGTGATTTCAAATGCTACTGCCTATCCTGCTAATCAGGTGTGTAACTGCTTTTTTGAAAAGATATTGAGCAAACTATTCTTTGAAAGAGGTACTGATAACATAGCGGTAGTGAGGTCGGTCTCACGAGCACGGTGCTGGTTCGACCCTGCTCACCAAGCCTTACATCCATCCTGTATTGGGGAATTGTTACCGGACTTGTTTGGGAACGGTCCACTCGCTGCAATCAAAATGGGAGTGCTAAAGCCTGGCCATTCCAGGACTCCAGGGGGAATAGACTCGACCATAAATCAACGATATGAGTGACGAAAGAAAAATCTTCAAAAGGCCGCCGAAGCCACACATACAAGTTGGACGACCTTAGTGGATGATGGATGCGAGTAAACAACTCAAATGTGAGAAATGCTGGGATCCGCACAGTTGATGTGAAGATGGGTCGTATAAAATAAAAAAATTATGTGAAACACAGAGGATTAAGTGAGGCTGTACAGGTCAAACATCCACTCTCCTTGCTAAAGACTTGGAAATCGAAATCGAAAGTATGCATGTCGATAGAAGTAGAATACTAGGGAAAAGTTTATCCCTTATTTATTAAGGTGACAAAGGCTAGGCTCTATGACTGCGAACTCACACATGTGCATTCTCCAACCTTCATTTAAGTCAATTTTTGTAAAATGCGATATGCAAAGTGCTACATGCATGCTTTTGCGATGTACACTGACGCTTTAGTTCGGAGCCGGTTTTTAAGAGAAGGAAATTCGAAAAAAAGTCATTCCAATCTTCTGTTAAATTGGCCACATTTACGTTTCTCTATCCATATGCTTTGCCATAGTAATCAACTTACGCTAAATTCTAACCTTTATAGGCACTAATGCGTGAAATGCGAATAACCGATAGAGTGGTGGAGATGATCTTCATGAGTCGAAGCGGATGGTCTCGTTCCTGCCGTATCATGTTGTTGCAGTGCCTTGCCAACATGGCGGTCTGTACGGAAAACCATGTTGGCGATGTTATCCGGTGATGTATCAAGGGTTTTCAGTTTCATCATAACGAATTTCAGGCCATAGTGCGTCCTGCGATTCCATACGCTGTCCAATGTCTATCGCAAAGTGATGAAACGGAAGTCGTTGTGGCTCTTCAAGCGCTTACAAACTTATCACTCAATATATCCCAAAAGGAGGTAGTTTATAATCGTGTTCGTTGCCTCATGACATGAAAATGTCAAATAGACAAGAATTATAAGAATACCTAGATATTTGCAAAACTTAAAGCCACAGATGGGCCTTGAATCCGCGATTACCCTTACTGGGAACTCACGTGTTATCCACGACATCAACCCAGTCCTTTGCTTTCTTTTTCTGTCAGCTATGCTTTTACTTCATCGATAGTACTAGTATAGCAATCGCCAGTCAAAGGGATTGATCTAGGTACCACAAATCTGCATTGAACCTCTGGTAAGAATCGCTGGTTCAAAGCTTTTCTGAGGTTCCGAGTCTCCATATAATCAGCATACTGGTTCTGTCTTAAAACAGTAAGTATTTGGAAGGAGCTTTTTCTCACGGGATTGAAATGATGTTGTTTTTTCAGTGGCGTTATGATAGTGTTTGATTGAATATATTGCATATCCATTTTACTCTTCCATACTCTGAAGAAGTCAAAACCTCCGAATCCTGAGCCACTGTTGAATACGTTTTGTATTAATAACCATGTCTTCCAGAATAATATCGTTCATTGAACTACTGGCTGCACATCCAACACCATGATGAGGCAGAGACTCTACAAGGAGTTTTAATACTGTGGTGAAAACCAGTTTTCAAATGATTCTGGTTCATGAGTTCTGATCATGTCGTGCAGTAACAGAGGTAGCAAAGAATATGAAGGGAATCTACGGATGCCGTAGCTGAAATGAAATGAAATGTTGTGGAAGTGGTGTCCTAGCTGAACGTTGTTAAAGATATGGTCCGAGAAGATCTATGCAAACGATGAATTACCACAAAACAAGGTTCGCTTTTGAATCATGTTGCAAATAAATAGCTGAAGGTGATTCTCAGAAACTGACCTGGAAATAGTTCTGTCCATGGAAACTCCCTAGCACAAGATTTTCGGAAAGGTCTGGAAAGGTTCTTTTTCTCAGCTTTTTGAGGTTGCTTTGTTTTCGAACTTATTACGTCTGCTCATGGTCTAGTTAATCATCTAAACGTTTTGGACACGTGTTCAATTAGAATGTTTGAAATCTCGGACTGGGTGTTTTAGGAGAACGGAACTTCTCCTACCTGATTTTTGTCTTCGAAACAGTACAAAAAGCATTACTTCCAAATTGGCATTAATAGGTTGTGAGATTCGCGGAACTACCTAACACTGAAGGAACAACCCTTGTGGAAAACGACTTCAGTGTATTCTTCCAAGTTAAGCCCAATTACCTTGTACTTTTCTCATCTGTAAGGTACAATTTTTGATTGCTTCTTGCTTGCTCGCTGTCATTCTTCTCGGGAGATCTTTGCAACTTTCGCTCAGTTTACTTGTTACTTGAGCACTTCTTAGCGAAGATAGTTTTATGGCGTATATACCCTTATCAACGCTTTATCTGGTTTAGGTAAAGGTAATGTTCTAGACAAAGGTACATAAATCGGAAGAAAACATAGATTCGTAAAAAACACATGCTGTAGAGGTGAACAAATCAAACCGGATGGTTCATTGAATTGTCTTCTATTGCTAAGTTTCATCGTAGGAATACCTAAAATATATGATGAATATGAAATGCAATAAAGAGAGTTTATTCAAAAGAGGATCAGCAGTATGAGCCTCTTTAGGGGACTCTCAGAATGGTTAAGCAATTAGGAGAAACTCGTGCGCTCTCGTTTTTAACTCGACGATTCTGCTATTGCTTTGCGTGCAGTACTGACGTGGGTGTACATTTCGATCACGCAGTAAATTTTCCACGCAATCCACAGCATAACTGAACTCTATCTTCGGAAATACAACCGGGCACCGTTGACATTTCGCCGGGGTGCGGAGCCCAGTTTAATCCTATAGAAATATCCCATCCTCGAGATAGGAGTAAATGTCTATACCGAAAAATGGATGGGCCGATCACATAAGGAGAACAGCTACCGAGAGATGGACAAGAAGAACGCTGAAATGGGTTCGAAAAGGATATAAGCTTTCTTTTGGAGAGCAGCCTTCAAGATAGACAGTGTTTTTGCGTCCTTCGTCATGCTCAACGGAGACCACGACCACGGCCACTTGAGAAAGGGGCGAGAGGAAAGTGGGCTGGGGCCGCACTATCCGTGAAGGCATTTCATCCAATTCCCAAGTAGGTATCTTGTACTCCCACACGAAACACGTAGATATCGTCGCCGAAAATTTTTCTAAGAAGGTACTGGGCCGAGTAAAGAGTTTCGAATAGTTGTATGATGACTCTAGAAAGTAAAATTTGAGGGTATTGGTTGTTTTATAAAGAGGTGGTATACAAATGGTAATGGACTAGGAGACAAGGTAACGTAAAATTGGACAAGATAAACTATAGTTGAGCACATAGAAGGGCATGAACGTTCTTTTTCTCAGTTTTTCACGCGACATAATTGAATCTTTGGTGTGGTTAACGATCTCTAGGAAGTGTAACTATGAGGAACAGATCCCATTTTGCTTGCACGAAGCTGCTTGTGATGAACTGTGCATCCCTTCTCTTTCTGCTGTCGTTGATATACGAAGCTCAAAAGTGCCCTTTAACCTTCTTCATTCACATCAGCCTCGTATAATGCACTTAGATACCTCGACATCTTAAAACATTCTTTCGCGACTGAACTCTCGGATAATATTCACAATGTTGATTTTTTATTTACTGTCTTTTACAAGTTTTCACGGCAGGGTATTATTTGTGGAACAACTACAATGATGCTGAGACATTTGCAAAACTCCGGACCGCAGGTGTCTTCGGTGGGCAACGAACGTGCTATTGTTCTTTCCGGGGAGTAACGCGTTCACCACCACACCATGCGGGTCCTTCGTTTGGCCTGTCTCTCAGCTAGTTCTGTTGGTCACCGGAGATTTGCAAATATCTCAGCATCATTGTAGTTGTTTCACAAATAATACCCTGCTGTGAGAACTTGTAAAAGTCAGTAAGTAAAAAGTGAATATTGTGAATTTCAACTCTAGCTTCAGCTTAACGGGGTTCAGTGCCGACTTGGGTTCCCCAGATCAATCCCGCTGATGGGTGATTGCTGATGGCAGTGATTGATAGAACCAGTTGAGAAGAAGGCGAAACGAAGGACCCACATGGTATGGTGGTGAACGCGTTACTCCCCGGAAGGGACAATAGCGCGTTCGTTCCTCACCGACACCTGCGGTCCGGAGTTTTGCAATTATTTCAGCATCACTGTAGTTGTTTCACAAATAATACCCTACCATGAAAACTTATAAAGAGGCAGTAAATAAAAAGTGGACATTGTGAATCTCGAGTAATATATTTAGATTTCACAATTCTTGCCAGCAATTCCACGCTGCTTATCGCAACTGTGGTGTCGAGGTGAACCCAACATCAATGCACTTCGATTGCTTGTCAATTTCAGCTGCTGTCCCGATATGGTGCCATACATGCTTGGGGCTAAGGTTCGTAGAGTTGTTGTAGGAACGGACTAGGTTGCTTTGACTTTTTATTCTTTTTTGGAAACTTCAGTCCGTGAGTGGTCTTTTGCGACTATTGGACACAGATCGTGAAGAAGTGCTTCTCCGAATTGTCACTTGGCTACTGTGTACCTCATCAGCGGTCGACGCTTTGAATCTAACGTACGATCGGATAGCTTGTCATAATCAGGTAATCAGAATTTGTCTAATAGTAAGTAAGCATAAATTGTCTAATAACGGAAAAAAAGTGCTACAGTATTCTTCCTCTACTTTTCCCGTAAAGTTCTGCCCTCAAATTGTCCCTATCCATAAATAATATGGACAACTAGAGCAGGAATAAAACACAGCCTGTAATGAACGGTGCTAAATTTTCGACAATAGATGATAATTTCTGGACAGGTCAAGGATTTGAGGGCTGAAGAGCATAGGAATTCCAGAAGAGATTTTGTTTTATCGCTCTAGTGGTATGTTTTAATATTCCGGTGATAGTAGCTGAGAAAATGACGATGTTATTCGCAAAGGGATATTGTGGAGCCGGTGAAGATCTCAGGAGATGTGTGACTCTACAAAACGGGGCTAACTCTCCTCATTTCGTCGAAAGGTCTTCTTTCCCTCTCACGAATACATAGCTGCACTTAATTATTTATTTCACTTCTGAATTTTCTCTCACTGTCTACCTGTATAGCGATCAAATTGACACTTGTTTGTTGTAGCTATCAAGGGAAATCATGATGTGTATCTTCGAATTACTATGGAAAAAGTATTGGTAAAAATGCACTTGAAAATAGCGGAAAAGCTACAGCACAGCTGTCTCTAGATCACAGAAAAAGCCACCAGTATTCAGCATGTTCTTCACATGATGATGCTGGACTATGTAAGTAGTAAATGAGCAGTTATATCTTAAGTAAATAAGAAGGTACTTGTATGCAACGTTAATTTTCAGTGCTTTAAAGGTACTTTTAACAAATACATTAAGGTCATTTATCATGTTCTAATAAATTCTCCGTTCAGGACCCGTTCCGAAATCCTACGCACACATTGTACCATTCCATATATGGCCCCCAAGCTCGGAAAGAATTGGAGCAACGCGCTCAAGAACTATCCGTTCACCGTAACATAAACATCGCGAACAAAGCTACAAGATTGTTAGAAACACTAAAAAATGTGAGCTACAGTGTTACTCTGTGTTTCAAACACAAACCTTAGAAGTTACAATGATAAAAGGAGTCTCTATTGAGAAGCCGATTTTTTAGATTCCGATGTTCGTCACACTCGGCTCTCAACTGAACCACTTATGACACTGAAGAGGGTGACAGGGAAGAACAAGTGGTTCAACAGTTGGTAACTGTGGAATTGACAATTCGCTGTTGTATGGATAATGAGCATCTATGCTTTTTCAATTTGTACATCTCATACAACATTGTATTCCACGTTTTCAGAATGTTCCTGGTCCTAAATTTCTATGCAGAATTGTTTCGTGCAAGTTCCTTGTTCTACTAATCGTTTTTCCGTGAAGGCGTTTTGATAGCAACCGGAGGTCATTTTACCATAAACACTCGTCGATAGTTATCTATGCACATTTTGCTGTATGCTTGTGCATATTTTGTTTGGAAAAATAAGGTAGGACAATTTTCTAAAGTCGGGATCAGAGTCCTCTGTTTTTCACCTAATCTTGGGTTTGGGGATGTTGAGATTCATCCTCACAGCAAGTTCGTCCAAGCTGAAAAGTTCAGCAATTTCAATTCGGTGGGCTAACTAAGAGGGAACTCCTATGCCATAACAGAATCCAAGGGTCATCTACTCACCGCTACCACCTGGCCTGAGATAGCTTGAATAGAGGGCATCACAAAAACTGGTGGAAAAATTGGTGCTTCCTGGCTCCATCTAGCCATTGGAGCGCAATGACTCTCGCATGGCAATCAAACGGAAGCTTTTCTAGTTCCCGGTCGACTATTAAAGGGATGGTAACTGAACAGATAATAATACAATCGAATTGTTGCGAACGTCGTTTGGAAAGCCTTGAGTCCATCACTAGTGTTCAAAGTTTAAGTACTTCAGTCAATCAAATCCCTTACTATTTTCAGCAGATTAGATGAACGACTTCGCGCTGACTGCTGAGTGATTGTACATCGATGAAGGTGGATGATTCTTCCTAGTATCAGTCGCAAAAATAGCTATGCTATAGCTTCAAAGTTAAGAAACACTCAGGAAGAGTCGTAGGGTACCAAAAAATGATCGCCTAAAGATAGTAGTGATTGTAATATCCCGCATGACAATATGCGTAAGCCGCTATCTACATAGAAATTTCCGACTTACACAAGAATAAAAGCGTGGTATGCGTCTGGCTGGGTCTTATGGATTTGAAATCCAGAGTTCCAGGGAGAATGGACTCGGGCAGCATAATAAGACAGTGTGACGAAGACGAAAGGACTGTGAAGCTGCAGGCGAATCCACACGCAAAAAAGTTCGAAGATTTTCGTGGATTGTGGATACGAGAATATACTTCATTCCAGACTTCTCATTTTCGTTACCATCACGGTGATACAAGTCTAGCGAGGCTATCAATAACCTAGCAATAGCAGCTTCGACTGAATATGAGGTCGAAGGTAACATTGATTATACACAAATATTTTTTCTCGTCGAAGGATGAACAGTTTTCGAGTCATTAAGTTTATAGTTTCCTTCAACATTTACTTCTGAATGCGAACGAAACTGACAGGTGTATTCATATAAGCAACTGCTAAACTGAACCAAAAGATTCTAAAACGTTTTCGATTTCCGGTGGAATGGGTAAACTAATGACCATCGGCTTGCTGATGTTGAGAGATTGGTATGGATTGTTAGGCAGACGAGGTGGACGAAGTGTTATCGCTGGGATAGTCGTGGGCTGAAATATATATGAAGTACAGATGTAAAAAGCACCATATATGCGTAGATTTAAAATAGACTTTGTTACAGTGTTACATTCTTGGCACTGGTTCAATATCTCATTACAGTAATTTCTAGCGCTGCTTCGCTCTTAGCTGTGTTTTCCATTGTAAATGTCCGATGCCTGGAGAGTTAAATTTTCTATTCAAAATTAAATTTGTCTCATGGAAACCTGGATGATCCATTAGGCACATAAAGCTAGATTTCATTGAAAGCATCGTGGTAAGCTGTTCGATTCACATACTTAATGACGATATTATTATACGGCGTTAGCCCATATTCTACTCTGAAATGTAGCGATACGAAACTTTAAGAACTCTTTCAGTATGGTACTCATACAGAGCCATAGTGACAGTGTTTTGTCGTTATAAGATTAGATTTGGAACACATGCGAAGACTACTTCTCACCGGCACATCGTATCAGTACAAAATCTGCCACATAGTTATTTAACAATAGCACATCCTTTTATATTTCGACAAAGCATGTGAAGAACAAGAAGGATGCAGCATCACAAAATGATATAAATTACTATCATTAAATAGTAGCCTTGTTTTGGCACCATAGTGAGTGTCATGGCACCATGTTAAGTGAATACTCATGGGTTGTCGAACTGTGAAGTATAGATGGAGTTCGTTTCTAGATGGTGTTAGCTGAGGAGTCAGAGGAGTTCCGTATTTCGAAGAACGCTCTTGAAACTAAACTAAAATGCAGGTTGCAAGAACAAAGACTTCTCGCCACTCCACAGTAGCTGCTGTCTTTCTCAAGAGAAACTTCTTCCACATACTTGTTGTCGAAGACTTCAGCATCAGAGTAGAAAAAGATACTGAAGAAAAACTGAATGGAAATCTTCAGCTCACGACATGCAAATTGGCGTAAAAATTGTCTGTTTGGAGAGCGGTCCATGTCAAAGAAGAACGTTTTTCAGAACGAAAAAGATCATTGTTGGTTATTGCAATAGATAAATAAGATACGCATATAGTAAGAGACCACCTGGTTAGAAAAGGTGAATGTGCTTACTTGACAATTTCAAACTGTTACTGTTTCCAGTGAGTCCAATAAATAACGCCAAAAGGAATATATAAAGGCTCGCTATAATCATAGCCTAGACTAAGGCGAAAATATCTTAAACGAAATACTTGCTGTGCACCTAGCATACAGAACAATGCACCATAGCAGAGCACGAGACCTTTGTTAAAGAACTAACAAGCTGTGCCGAATATACCTTAGTTCTTCAGTTACAAAACTCGAATCGTGTCAACAATACTATCTGTGGAACTGGTCAAAAATGGAGGAGAACTGCAGATAAACCCAAGTACAACGCAAACATATGGCAGATATTAAGCTTCACTTGTGAAAGGCCTCGGCAGGAAATCTTAAAACAGAAGGATGAAACCGGTGGCAAAAAAGAAAAAACTGCTGTGAAAAAGTGTTTTGAGATCATGAATAAAAGATAACGAATAAAGCGTTGGGTGTTAATGCTCTTAAGGATGAGCCATGAATTCGACTTTAATAAGCAACGCAGTGGTGACTGAATGCATCATTGGATGCAGGTGGACGTGCTACTGAGCAGGTATTAATCGCTATTTATTCTCCACTGCCTTTCTGGAAGCTGCAACTTTTCTGTCTGGAAATCGGAGTGAAATTGTCTCAGCCCTATAATTGGCGAATTTCCGATGCGCTTTGCGAATGCTATTCCCAACTTCCAAGATCGGCTTTCTATTAACCTCGGCACTGCGTTGTAAATGCGTCGTTTTCTTTCTCAGCAACCGAGAGGTTTTTAAACAGCATACATTTAGTTCCATAAAAACAATACAATACAACGCTAGCTGACGTTTCGGCAGTATCGCCTTCTTCAGAGCCTGGAAGGGTATACTGATATACAATCTACTAGGCCAAACGCTTCAATAACACTTACAAAAAGACGAAAGACTCTTTGGTAATTACACGATCAACAACTTCTCGAAAAACCCACCGTTTTTTCGTGACTTCCAATGAGGAAGTTTAGAACAGCTGATTATAGTCGCATGTGGTTGACGACTGCACCATCCCACATCAAAAATCGATGCGAACATACGGGATCAGGTCGCGTATGACCTCCGGACATTCGTCCCTGCTATTCATTGTAGAGTTTTTGGCATTGATCCAAAAAGCCTCAAGGAGTTTTCGCGCTGGTGTTTTGGATTCCTGTGCGAGGATATTGACTTTTACTTCAAAATCGTCTCCGCTATGCTTTTGTATCCTATGCGTGCCTAGTGGGGTGCTTCGTCTTAGTTTTCGTTTGTCATCTAGGTGTTCCTTTATACGGATACATAAAGGTCTGCCCGTTTCGCCAATATATTCATCTCCGCAATTATTACAAGAGATCAGGTATATCGTACCTGAACTCATGCAATCACCGTCCCTGCCGTAAGGGCAAATTGCGCAATTTGTTGTTTCACACACACAGTCAATATCCTTGCAAGGGAGTCCAAAACACCAGCGCGAAAACTTCTTGAGGCTTTTTGGATCAATGCCAAAAACCCTACAATGAATAGCAGGGATGAATGCCCGGAGGTCATACGCGACCTGATCCCTTATGTNTTTCGTTTGCCATCTAGGTGTTCTTTTATACGGATACACAAAGGTCTGCCCGTTTCGCCAATATATTCATCTCCGCAATTATTACAAGAGATCAGGTATATCGTACCTGAACTCATGCAATCACCGTCCCTGCCGTAAGGGCAAATTGCGCAATTTGTTGTTTCACACACACAGTCAATATCCTTGCAAGGGAGTCCAAAACACCAGCGCGAAAACTTCTTGAGGCTTTTTGGATCAATGCCAAAAACCCTACAATGAATAGCAGGGATGAATGCCCGGAGGTCATACGCGACCTGATCCCTTATGTTCACATCGATTTTTTAATGTGGGATGGTGCAGTCGTCAACCACATGCGACTATAATCAGCTGTTCTAAACTTCCTCATTGGAAGTCACGAAAAAGCGGTGAGTTTTTCCAAGAAGTTGTTGATCGTGTAATTACCAAAGAGTCTTTCGTCTTTGTGTAAGTGTTATTGAAGCGTTTGGCCTAGTAGATTGTATATCAGTATACCCTTCCAGGCTCTGAAGAAGGCGATACTGCCGAAACGTCAGCTAGCGTTGTATTGCATTGTGTTTTTCTATGGAAGCTAATGTACGCTGTTTAAAAACTTCGCGATTGCTGAACAAGAAAACGACACATTCATATTCCAATGCCGAGGTTAATAGAAAGTCGATCCTGGGGACTACGCCAAATGCTTCAATAACACAGACAGAACGATGAAAATCACATGACTAACAGCTTCTCGAAAAGCTTACCGTTTTTTACGTGCCTTCCACAGAGGAAGAACCG